AAAAAAAAAAAAAAAAAACCAAAGCTCAGTGTAGGGCACTAGCCTAGCATGCTTAATGGTGGCCTTGGATTCAACCCCCAGTAGCAAAACAAAACCCCAACAAAAAACAAAACAATCAAAAGCCAAGTTGCTGGTGAAGTCATTTTGAAATTAGACAGTATGTTCTGCGGAACACATTTGTAACCTCTTTGCTATTATTTTATATACAGACAAACAATAATTAGATTTCACCATAAATATCTCTTGAGCAACAAGAAGAAATATTAGTGGAAAAATAAATGAAATATCAGTAGAAATACCATTATGTGCACATGGAAACCTAATGATATTCTAAACTCTAAATCCAGAATTTAAAATACAGCTATTTTTTTTAGCATGTCTGACATAAGTCTGAGTGTACTCAATGCATGGATCCTTTTGAACAGACTTATTAAAGGATATACAGTATCTTCATCAGTAATGTTTTGAACTCAAAAGGAGATTGTGGATACAAGAAATAGTAAGGAAAGAAATTGACAAAATGTTGGTAAATATGTAGGCCCCACCCCGCTTTCTGGGGATTGAACCCAGGGGTTTTGCACTGAGTTTCCGTCTCAAACCCCACCCCCTTTTTAACCGGGTCTTGCTAAGTCAACAAGTTACCCATGCTGGGCTCAAATTTGCTATCCTCCAAAGTGCTGGGATTTGGACATGTGCCACCACTTCACCTGGAGGATTAATATTTAAAAGCTGAGTGGAGACCACCCACAGACCCATTCATAAGCTCAGTGAGGGCCACCACGTTCATGTCTCACATTCCTGTGCCTAACAATAGAGAAAAGAGCAACCAGATGTGTGAGAATTAAACTGAAAGAGTATCAGTAGAAGCTGGAAAGATAGAGAAGTTTAAAGAATGTTTGTGTAATGTTTTCATAGAGGGTGTCAAGGTTGAAAGAAGCAGTACATGTTTGCTCTGCATTTTTTAGTGCAGTATTATTCATAGAGTAAAATACAAGTCAGTAGGTATTCAAGCTTTGCTTGGTTTTGTGAGCATCTGTATCATATAGTTTTTGTACCATTTTTACCATTATTTAAGCCTCACAGAGACGTGACAGTAACTCATTAGACAAGTGGGAAAGTAAGATACAGTGACCTTTCAAACAAGGACCTTTACAAGTTTACCTGTTGTCAGATTTGGTTTGTTTAGTCACCAATTGATGTGATGGAATCACAGTTAAGAAATGGTTTAAAAGTTTTGTTCTATAACAGGTGTTTCTTTTTCATGCATACCAAGTAACTCTGCCCTAATCCCTTAAAGCTGCTGTAAATTTTGCATTTTTTTGTGCCAGGAATTGAACTCAGGATCTTGCATTTGCCAGGCTAAATCCCTGCCCCTAGAGGTTTTGAATGTCGATCTAAAGAACCATTTCTCATGAGTTCCTCAAAGCATCTTTCTTCCTTACCCTTTTAGCAAAATGAAAAAGAAAAAAAAGGGCTTAGTCTCCAAAGACAATATGATTCTAGATTATGAAGTTGTTCTAGAAACTTTCATCATATTTTGATCACCTTCGCTTAGTTAATAAATGAGTAGTTTTTCTTCTTTCGTAGTATACCAACTATTTCAAAGATTTTAAAGAATGTTGATATACGATCTTTAAAAGCTAGAGAAAAGCTAAATAATTCTGTGGGTTCTCTAAATATATCTTCTATACAGAGCTGCTTTACATTTCTGTGGGCCTTTAGTCATCAGATAAATGTGCATTATATATACATATGTGGTGTGATTAAAAAAATACAATGAGGGTCTAAATTTTTAAAATATTTATTATACTAAAAGACACCTGGCCATTAATCCTCCCAAGAATATCATCCCTCACCTTGGTTATACTTCTGCTGTTGTTGTTACCCTTTCCTGAAGCAGTTCTGGAGTCTTCTTTCTGGAGTGTCTTTAGTTGTGCTGTTTTGAGTGCCTTGATGTCATGTATTGATTTGAAGTGTTTGCCTTTCATGGTCATTTTGACTTTGGGAAAGAACCAGAAGTTGCAGTGTCAAATCCATTGAATAAGGTAGATGAGGACACACCACAGTGTTTTTATGGGTGTCTGTCTGTTGGATTGCACTCAGCAACACCATTCATTGAATTTTTTATCACATTTCACAGAAACTTGAGAAAGTGGACTTCCAGAACTGCTTCAGAAAGTGTCAAGAATGTGTATTCAAAGCAAAAGGGAGTACTTTCAGAAGTATTAATGGCAATATGTCTTTTAATATAATACATTTTTAAACATTTAAATATTCATCATGCATTTTGATCATACCTTGTATGTTTTCTTAAAAGACATTTTTAAAAATGCTGATTCTGACTAATTCGTATTTTTCTGGTTTCCTATTAATCATTAAAATGGGACACAATTTAAAGAATAAAGTACTAGCAAAATTTATTTTAATAAATTCATTTTTATGAAGTTTTTAAAGGGGAAGCATTTTTCAATAGAAATAATTTTCCTTGTCTTGACAGTTTGAACTCTGTGGGCAATTTACTGTGATGGTAGCATGTTCTTATAGTTTTTAAAATGTTGGTAATTAGATGCTAAATTAAATTTGTTGTAATTGTTCTCCTTATATAGAATGTCCCTGGCTGCTTATTGTGTCATCTATTACAGAAGACTAGGCACCTCTACTCCCTCACCAAAAAGGCATACATACTGGAGAGATATCCGTGAGTAAAGTTTAAACAACATTTTTTTATATATATAAAGAGAGTGATGACATTGTGGCTAGTTTTCCAGAGTAGGCCAAAAAACTCTTTTTTTTTTTTGGTACCGGGGATCGAACTCTGGACCTTACACTTGTGAGGCAGGCGGCGGAACCATTGAGCTAAATCCCCAGTCCCACAAAAACTTTTTAATCCACAAAAAGTCTCTGATTTATGTCTCTGGTTCACTTGAGATTTGTAAGCCCTGAGCCATATATGATCATTTTCTTGGGAATTCTCATTCCTCCCTTATTTTTCCTGTCAAATTCCTTCTTATCCTTCTAAACTGAGGTATCACTATATTCTTATTTAGCAGATAATCCATTAAGCTCTTAAAGTGCTAGCCAGCAGGACATAGTGGCATACACCTATAATCCCAGCACTTGGGAAGCTGAGGCAGGAAGATCACTGTGAGTTCAGGGCCAGTCTAGGTAGTACATAGTGAGTTCAAGACCAGACTACACTCAAAAAAGAAAAAAAACAAATGAACAAACAAACAAAAAAATTCACCCCAAAACCTAAGATGCCAGCATCTGTATTAGGTTCTTGGAATACAGTGGTGAGCAAGGAAATAGCCCTTACCTTACTATGAATTGGGATCTGTTCTAATTCGCCCTGCTCCCCAACACACTGTAGCCATTCTTTCCTCTGGGAAGCTTCCCTGACATCCTTGGCCAAATTAGACCTGCTTCTTGTCATTCGTTAAATGAATATTGAACTTGGTTAATCAGACTTCTTTCATAGACTTTAAATTGTGTGAGGGTAGTTTCTTGTTTATCATTATATCCTGTTTACTGTTATATATGGCATATAGAAGATGTTCATTTAGGATTTTTTTTTTGGACAGAAGAAAGAAATATCCTGCCTTCTCTGAGCACTATTTATTTGTAAAATGAGAAGATAGGTTTAGCTCATCTTTCAGTCATTTGGCAATAAGCAATTATTGACCATGGACTATGTGCTAAACATTTTTCTCAGCCCCCAGGATACAATATTAAGTAAGATCCCCTATCTTCATGGAGTTTCCTTTTGTTCTTTAAAATAGATCTTTTTTTTTTTCCTGCTACTGGGGATTGAATTTGCTTGTGAGTCAAACTGTGGAACCACTGAGCTAAATCTCCAGCCCCACCTTTAATAGATCTGTTTTTAAGATCTTTTTTATGTAGGAAATTCTGACTCTGTATTTTAAATAGAAAAGGAGAAGTAGGAACAGAAAGGGAGTGTTTCTTCTCTTATCATCTGCCAGAACAAGCACTTTATAAGGCTCACTTTGTCAACTTACAAATGAATCTGACTTATAAACATTCTCCTGGAACAGAACTTGTTCATAATTTGGGTACTTAATGTAAACTTGTAGCCTGTATGTTAAGCAGGGCTACCATTTGATACTTAATTGCCAATTATAGCATCATTACTCTGGAAAATATTATTTTGTGTCACCATTTGACAAATATAATCCTTCAGTGTAGTCCTTCCTACTAGTGGTAGGGAAAATTCTTCCTAGTCCTTTATTTAATTAGTTCTTAACTAAAAGCAATCAGAAGGGAAGTGAGCTCCCTGGAAGTTGCATTCAGTGGAAGCCTGTAGTCCTGGCCATATTGGTAGTGAAACGGGGACTAGGGTCCCTAGTGATTTGTTGAGGATGGAAGAACAGGAGTGGAGGAAGAGGAGAATGAATATGAAGAGCCATCATTTTGAATTTTATTTTATTTATTTATTTTTTTTGGTACCGGGGATTGAACTTGGGTCTTTGCGCTTGCAAGGCAGGCCACCAAACCGCTGAGCTAAATCCCCAGCCCCTATTGAATTTTATTTTTGCATCCAGTGCTTATTGATTGGTTTGCATCTGGAGATGGAAAGCTGTGTGTTGATAGCAACTGATTATGTTAATAGAAAAATATCAATAACTTATCCAATTAGTATATACAAAACTGGTAGAGATTCACACTGTTGCCTATTTCACACTTTTAAAAATGAAATTCATTGCATTAACTTTTTCTTTTTCTTTTTGAAGGAAATGTAATAAAGTTTACCGGATCACTTATTTTAGGGTAAGTGTCAACTGTAAAATGTGAATAGGCTTCATTACATTACTCTTTGAAATGTCAATGAAAGTGATTTATAGGTGGCTTGGAGTAGCCCAAAGGTATGATTTAATCACTGGTTCTATCAATCACTCTGGGTTATCTTTAGTTACTGTACTCTGTTCCTGGAGGATGTTTCTCTTGGGTCCAAGTGTGCACAGGGATTTCCGCCTGCCTGGCCTTGTATTTGTGAGGAGAGCACTTGACATACATGTAGTGTCACTCTGCCAACCTCTACACTCTTAAAAATCACATCTTATATTAGGTCTTAAAGTGGGTGAGGTGGCTAAAAATTAACTAGTAAATTTTTTTGAATTAATATAAAATTTTTTAAAAGATTAAAAAATTACTTTTGAAAATCCTAAAATCAGGGTGGTGGTGGTGGTGGAAATGATCAAACTATGTTATGTGCATGTTCCCATTATTTTGCATAAGTTATATATATACTACTACTACTAATAAGAACATCCCTGAAATTGCCCTAAAGCTCTCAAGAAAGGAAATAGAGGCCAACTAAGAAGATCAACAGGTTGATCTTTGCCATCTTATGCTTCGTCAGAGGCTCGTGTGCAATAGTTAGCATGGCTCTATTTCTAGTAACTATTATTTTTCTTATTTTCATATTAAATGTTTAATAGTGTGTTATACTTGTTTCACTAATATAAAATCAATTCAGTACATTTCTTTATTATGTGGTAGATTTGGGTGGGGGGCAGTTCTGGGGATTGAACTTGGGACTTGTTTGTACTTGTGTGGCAGGTGGTGGAACCACTGAGCTAAATCCTGGCCCTATGTGGTAGATATTTAGATAGTTTTTTCCTTTGACTCATTCTGGACAAAGGATAAATGTGTACCCTTTTTATAATGCAGGGTTTTTGTGTTTTTTTTTTGTTTTTTTTTTTAGATTATAGCTATATTCAGAAATATAGTGCAAATCAGAGGACTTTTAGTAAAGAATTTTGTTTTTCTTGCAAAGTGTGGTTAAAGTAAAAAATAATGTTTGCTCCTCCTACCTGTTCAGATGGATCCCCAAGAGAGCAGAAGTTTCTTTGGAGCCTTCTCTGTATTCCTCTGGTGTGGCCTGGGTCTGGATTTTTTTCTCTCACCTGCTTGCCTTAGGGAGGAAATCCAGGTCAGCAGAAGGCTTAGGTTACTGAGATGTGGGTCCGGATGGAGTGCAGACTTTGTCTAGATTTAGGAAGTATAGGTCAGTCTAATTAGGAAGAAAAAAAATGTTTATTTGGGTATACAACAAACACCTTTATATTTCACATTTAAAACAGACTTTGGATGTAGCTATTAGGAAAAGAGAAAACTTTATATGCTGCTGATAGGAGTATAAGTTGGCTAATCTTATTTGAAAAACAGTTTGGTATCTAGTGAAGTTCGTATATCAGAAAGTATGTAATTCTGCTTTTAGATATGTACCCTTGAACATACATATACATGTATGCACAGTATAGATGTGTACGATGTGTAACAATATTGTTTGTAATAGATTCAAATTAGACACTGTGAATATGCCTATATCCATGTGGTAAAGTGTATATGTTATATGTGGTAATTGATACAATTAATTGTGTATCATATCAAAATATAAATGCAGGAACTACATTTACATGCAACAACATAGGTAAAGCACATAAATAGAAGGCTGATAAAAATATGTATGGTATGATTTCACTTAGGCAAAACTGAGCTCTGGTTTAAGCTGCATATATAGGTGGTAAAATTATAATAATCAGAACAATAATTTTTTCCAGTTTTTAGTGTTGTTTTGTTTTGTTTTTTTGTATCCAGGATCAAACTCAGGACCTTGTACTTGTGTGGCAGGTGGTGGAACCACTGAGCTGAATCCCTTGCCCTTCCAGTTTTTAGTTTTTTGAGACAGAGTCTTGCTATGTAGCCCAGGCTGGCCCCAAACACATGGCAGTTATTATAGGTGTGTGCTACCACATCTGACAAAAAAATCACAACAATTACCTGTAGAGATAAGAGAATTAGTTATATCAAGGAGAGGGAAGTAGCTGGCTTTTGGGGTACTTTTAATATTCTGTTTCTTATCTGGATATGACTGTGCAACTATTTGTTATTTTAAGCTGAGATATATATATATACACATACATACACACACATATGTTTAAAAGTATTTGCATGTTGCTGTATATTCCTAATAACAAAGAAATTTCACTGTGAAAAGCTTAATAAAGAAGAGTAGCTCCTCGGTTGCATTTAGATGATATATTTATGGTGTTATTTGTTTCTTTTAAAGAGGTTCTTTATTTCTAACATATGAAATTCTGGCTCTGAAGAAGTCTTTGACATTAGATAATCAAGTGGTAGAAACAGAAAAAATGAAGTCATACATATATGTGCACACAGCTTCTTTAGACAGAAGAGAAAGTCATGGTAAGTTTATTGTAAAGAAATCTCATCTTTGTGAAAATAAGTAGCAAGTTATTGAATTTAAAAATGAGTCTGTTTGCTGGGCATGGTAATGTATGCCTATAATCCCAGCACTCAAGAGGCTGAGGCAGGAGGATCACTGTTGAGTTCAAAGCCAGCCTGAACTACACAGTGAGAGCCTGACTCCAAAAATAGAGTCTGTTTAAATTATAGCATTCATAAGATATATCAGAGCCCAGTTCCTAAAGTATTGAAGTTCTTTTTTTTATTTGGTACCGGGGATTGAACTTGGGCCCTTGTGCTTGCAAGGCAGGCAGCAGAACCACTGAGCTAAATCCGCAGCCCTGAAGTTTTCATTTTAGATTTATTTGTTTGACCCAAGATTGCAACTGTTCTAGAACTGAGTGAAGTGAAGACTAGCTGGCTGTTTGAATCTGTACCTGGAATTCCCTCTTCAGTGGGGGCCATTAGTTCAGAGGCTGACTCTCATTTTGGCAAGTACTAAAACATGATTTTGTCATTTAGCTCAAGAGTTTTTTTATTTGTTTTCAGCACCAGGGACTGAATCCAGAGCCTTTGCACTGAGATACATCCCCAGAGATCTTTTAAAATTGTTTAGAAGTCGAGACAGAGTTTTACCAAGTTACTAAGCTGCCCAGGCTGGGCTCACACCTGTGATTCTCCAGCCTCAGCCTCCCAGAATGCTGGGATTATAAACATGCACTACCATGCCTGTCTGTTATTTTGCTCCAAGGGATTTATTCATGCAAACCAAACTCATTAGATCATTTATAAATATGAATACCAACTCATTTATTATTTTCAGCCATAAAAACTAAAAAATCTATCTTTACTAGTTAGGACATTGCTTTTCTCAATATTTAGGTCACATGCAAGCCTTCCCGTTTCTTGGTGAACATGACTTTAGAACACAGGAGTATATTTTCATCAGCTATGGGTAGCTTGGTAAGTCTCCAGCTTGACTTACAGCTGCCTGTTCCTATACTGTCAGCCAGGATGTGCCTGCGAGCACATGATCCTCATGCAGGACAGGCTGCACTGCTCTGGGTCTCTGAGCTGTATGTATCACACTATCATGTTTGTTATTATGTCATCTTCCTATCTTTCAACATGCTTTTATGGTGTATTTACAATTTCACTTGTATAGATTATTACTACATCTTAGAATTTGCCTAAATAATGAAGCTTAATTCCATTAGCAAGGTATTTCCAAATTTGAGTTGTACATGGTCAAATTATAAGGCCATTTTCCTATGTATTACTGATCTTAAACTTGAGGATTTTTGATAGCTTTAGTGTTCTTGTTTTTACTTTTTCCATGTTTGGAGAATGATCTTATTTTGAAAGCCAGAGCTTTATATTTTCGTTTGGTTTTAGTTGCATTGATCCTGTTAATAAAAAGATAAAGATGCTGTTTTATATTTTTTGTGAAAAATTTTGGAGTTTATGCATTTGTTTTTGAAGTATTGGAATGTAGTATTAACAGTGCCTATTTGGTTATAAGTTTGTAATCATTTTAGGGATTGCCTGGCAGGCAAGAAAAGAACTTCACAAAGCAGTAAGAAAAATATTGGCAGCATCAGCCAAGTTATTGCAGAGTCCATTTGCTGGTGGTAAGTGTCAAACATTTAACGTGAATCTCAACAATCTGAAAGTCATTTAAATGACCAATTTGAGAATTAAAAAAAAAAAAAACAAAAAAACCCCAACTGTATATGTTTGGCTTTTTTGAGACAAGGTCATGCTCTGTCATCCAGGCTGGCATTGACTAACCTTAAACTTGTGATTGTCATGCCTCATCCTCCCAAGTGCTGGGATTACAAACATGCATCACCATGCCCACCTTATATTAATATGTGTAATAGCTATGGAAATTTAATTGAGTAACATTATTCTCTTGGGCAGTATTTAACTTTAAGGGATTAATTATTTACATGTTTCTTTGTGGGTGTATTGTTGTCAAAGAGTTGTAAATAAATATTGAGCTTAAAAATTACCTATTATGTTGATGAGTGTTGCAGAATTTTAACTTGTAAGAAAAATCACTCCTGTGCTTTCTCATAATGAGAATATTGCATCAAAAATGTAGATTTTATAATCAGGAAATCTACAATGTGGAGTTGGCTCTAAAAAAAAAGTTTGCCTGATCTCTTTACAACGTTTTTGGTTGGTTGTTATTTTTTGAGACAGGGTCTTGCTGTATAGTTCAGGCTGGCCTTGAACTTGCTTTGTAACCCAGGCTGGCTCAAATTTAATGGTGGTTATTCTGCCACAGCCTCCAAGTGCTGAGATTACAGGTGTGCACCACCATGCCTGGCTCTTTACAAAATTGACATGAAGAATAGATGGGAAAATATCCTAGAATTAAAACATGGTAAAGAGAGCTTACAAATCCTGATTTTGTTTTATTTTGGTGATACTGGAGATTGAATTTAGGGTCTTTGCACTGAACTACATCCCCAGCCCTTTTTAAATTTTGAGATAGGGTCTTGTTAAATTGCGCAGGCTGTGCTCTAACTTCTGTCCTTCCTGCCTCAGTCTCACACGTGCTGGGATTATAGCTGTCTGCTATCATGCCCAGGTCAAATCCTGGTTTTAAAACATCTTTAAAGACATTTTTGGGAAGCTGGGAATGGTGATGCATGCCTGTAATACCAGAAATCTGGGAGGCTGAGGTAGCCTGAGCAATTTATCAAGACCTGTATCAAAAAATAAAAGGCTTGGTCACATAGCTTAGTGACAGTGTCTGTGGGTTTGATCCTCAGTACCTGAAAGACAAGAAGGTAGTAAAGAAGCAGGTGGGTGGGAGAGATTTTTGAAAATAAATTGATAGTGAGCTAGGCTGAATGAATAGAAGATGGCTTTGGAACCTTTCTGTCATTGTTCTTGGATGTGATAATTGTGGCTGTGTAAGAGAATGCAGGTTTGTTCTTATGAAATGCAGGTTGAATTGTGGAAAGGTGAAATGTTATGTCTGCAACTTCCTTTCCAATAGTTTATATATGCATGCATATATGTTGTCTGGTAGACCGTTTCAAAAGTGGCTCACTAAGTAAACATTACTGGCTTCTGAATTTTAGCCTCTCTCTCTGGAGTTATATTCTAAGTTCTTCTCATCTCAAGCAAAGAGTTGAACAAAATGAGCAAAAACTAGTGGCCAAGTTTATTTGAGAAAATAAAAATGAAGAGTTGGGGAGAAACTAGCTCTGCAGAGTGAGCTTGAGCTAGGTAAAGAGAAAAAGAGGGTAAAAGCAAAACTAAAAGTACACACTGTGTCTAGGAAATGCATTGAGGGCTATCATGGAAAGCTATGATAGCAAGGGCTGGGGATTTAGCTCAGTGATTCCGCTGCTTGCTTCACAAGCACAAGGTCCTGAGTTCAATACCCAGTACTTAAAAAAAAAAAAGAAAAAAGAAAGAAAGCTTTGATACCAGGCTCTTCATGGTGTGGTCTGTCCAAATCTCGAAACCTGCAAGAACTTTACATAGGATCCTGAGAGGTGGTGCTGGGATCCCATATCTCAGGGTTACATCAGGCCGAGGCTGCAGAGAAGTCCTTGGGTAGGGCTTAGGGAGCTAGCTGTTTTGTGCATACTAGGATCTTGTAATTATCAGGTCATGCCTACATCCCTATCCAGCTTGCCATGCCCTACTCTATCTCATATAGGTGAAGCAAATATGGCAGAATCCTGATGAATCCTGATGTGATAGGCATATGGATATTAATGTATCATTTATTCAATTCTTTATATATTTGACCTGTTATAAAATAAATTGTGTTTTAGAGAGAAAAACACTAGTGAAAGACACTATAGCATATGAAACAAAAGCACAAATGAAATAAATATAACAGTATGAGAGAGCTGAGAACAAAGTCATCTCCATTATCAATATCTGTGTAGGGACTTAACTTTCTTATTGTGAATTCCAAATATAAATTACCATGTGAAGTAGAAATAGGATAAAATGTTGTCTGTTCACATTTTTCTTATTTTTAGTGTTTGTCATTTTTTTTTTTAAGACACTTTTAGCACGGTTGATGTAGAAGATCATGAATGTGCCATGTGGTTGCTTCTGAGGAAGAGCAAGTCAGAAGACAGGACCACACGACTGGAGGCTGTGCAAGAAATGTCAGAGACCCACCATTGGCATGGTAATGAGATCAGCTGAGTTGTGGCACTCCATCCACTAGCTCATGATTTCTGGTATAAAAGAGGAGGGAATCAGGTGAAGAAAAATAATTCAGAAAGTCTTAGCATAAAATACAGTGTATGTTTAAATGTAAAAAAACACACCACAATAAAAGACACATTGCTAAGAATGATGGGATGAGTGTGATTGACACGGGAAATTTCTGAGTATTTTGAGGGAGATTAACATAAAGTATATTCAAAAATTTGAGAAGAAGCTCCAGTGATAAAGTAGGAAACTTGCTATCATGGTAGCCAGATAGATGTGTTTGGTAAGAGCAGCCTCAAACTGTATGCATGTATGTATATATTTATGTTACTCTCTACCAGAACAAAATTTTGATTATGTATTTCTTTGAAAGAAACTCTTGATTCTGATGGTTATTGCCTAATGTTTTGCTTATATTTTCTTTTTGGTTCATATTTAATAAACTACAGTAATGCTTCTGTTTGTAAACAGTGGTTTGCAAATAAAAGCATTTGGCAAAAGTTTGATTTCATGTACAAACTCCACATCTGGTGACAGAAACAACCACAGCCATTTTCTCCACACACACAAATGCAGCCATCTTCCCCCAAATCCTAAAACAAATTAAGTTTGTAAACTAAGGTACCACTGTATTATTTAATTGCTTGCTACACTGAATTATATTTACTTTCATTTTGACAATTCTGCTTGACTCTGATGCTAATAATTAGCTAAATTTACCTTGTTTGTATGTATATATTATAATTTTAAATGAATATATTAAATATTTCATTGTATTTAAAAATCACAGGTTTTGCAATAGAAAATTATTTGAATAAGCCCAAGTCTGCTCTGAGTGTAGTATAGACTGAACTGTAAGTTTAGTAGAATCATCTTGTAAAAATAAATAAGAAATAGGAAAGAATAATGTTCTCAACAGTCTCAAAATAAGATTTCTGCCTTCCAGCGCTCTATTCTAGACTCAGTAAATCAGCAAAATCACGTAGATTTTGAAACAGTTCTCCATCTGATCCTGAGATACTGAGATTATCATGTGCTCTTTTGGAAAAGAATGCCAGCTTCAACAGTTGAAATTTTGTTTTTGATATATAAGGAATGACAGTACTACTATCTAAGTATTTATGGGCATCACAAATGCCAAATATCATAATATCACCACTGGACTTAGATTTCAGTGTGGCTTCTATTGTTTTGACTAGTAAGCAAAACACCTTTTGAATGCTAGAGCTATTTTAAAAGTTGTTAAACGGATGCTGACTTAGCAGTTTTTATTACTTGAGTTTCATTTTTTCCAAAATATTAGACTGTGACTCAGTCCCCAGATACAGTAAATGTTGAGGAAAATTTTAAGATCAGTCATGGAAATATTGAGAATTGAGATTGTAAATATTGTAAATGCAGTTGTAACTGTGAAATAATATGTAGTAAATTTGGGATTATAGTATATAACAGTTAAAAGTTAGAGTTCTTTGGAGTAGTTAGTTCATTTAATCCTGTGACAATTGTAAGCTAATTTAGGCATTTATAAAAAATATACTTTTACAACAGATTATCAGTATAGGACAGTTGCTCAAGCCTGTGATCCAAGAACTCTTGTTGGTTTGGCACGAAGCAAAGACAGTGATCTTCGCTTTTTTCTCCCACCACCACCTTTGCCACCTTTAAAAGAAGTAAGTAAATAAGATAATACACAAAGTAATAAACAGTTTATTTTTATGTATTAGTACATGCTTATGGTACATAACTAAAATATTCATCTTTGCAAATTGGTACATATACTGTACATATTGCATTTTAATCCTTTTTATTTCCCCTGGAAAATTGTTTAATATATTCTCTTAAATTTTGGTGCAAAGTAAACTTTCAAAAAATAATTGTTGGCTACTTTTCACACGCAAGAAACTAGGATATAAAACTAAAATAACATTTTTCATGCAATGATTTGATTCCTTAGCGGGACTATTTCTCTTACATTATTTTCTGCTTTTGGGGATGGGGAATCTAGCTTCCTATTATAGCATATCAATATCTGAGTTTGCTATAGATCAGATTTTTTCAACTTTATCTCTGTTGACATTTTGGGCCAAATATTCTATGTTGGAAAACCTTGTTTTGTATAACTGCAGGATGTTTAGCAGCATCCCTGTACTCTAGTCTCCAAAACACCCCCAGTTATAACACTGAAAGTGTCTTCAAATATTGCTAGTTATTTCTTGGTGGAAAAAAATAGCTCCAGTTGAGAACCATTGCCACAGATTTAAAGGATGTTTCTTGAGAACCTTTCCTAGACTAGGAAATGAAATTCTTAAAATTTTAATATAAGCAGTTTTTTAAAAATAGAAAAATGAATACCTGGAATACTAGTTATTAGAGAAAATGCCGTGGTAATGAGTTTTATCAGAGAAAATGAGATTCTAATGAGTAGCAATTACTTTGGTTAGAAAGAGTGAAACAATTCATTTTGAGTCAAGGTGTAAAGAAGCCTTGAGGAGGGGAAAGTTGAGAGTTAAGATTTGCTGTATGTCTGTCAGATATAGAGGCAGACATGAAAGTAGAGAGTTCAACATTAAATGATTTTCCTGGAGGGTGACTGTTCTCAAAACTCAAAACACTAATTTATCTTTGCTAATATCTCTGTATGTACATATATGCACTTACATATGCATGTTTTGGCTTTGATTCTTTTGAGTATTTTTAATTGTACTCAGTTGTTTGGTTTATATTTTCTTTTTATTTCAGGATTCTTCCACTGAAGAAGAACTCAGACAGTTGCTGGCTTCTTTGCCTCAAACAGAGCTAGACGAATGTATCCAATATTTTACTTCCTTGGCTCTTAGTGAAAGCAGTCAGAGTGTGGCTGCTCAGAAGGTTTGTTCATTTACTTATTCAGAAAATATTTTTGGGTGCTTACACTTTCTAAAATGGTGTGCCAGAGGCCAGCAGCTGAACCCTAAAATAGTCATTCATTTAAGATACTGAATGAACATACCGACTTCTGTTTGTGTGCCATGCACTAAGCAGGTATCTGGTAAATAAACACTCACAGAAGTGTGCAAAAGCAATATAAGTTACTTCAAGAACCCTTTACTCTGTTTACAGGTCATTTATGGCTTCAGAAGTGGAAGCCATAAATGGAAACTTTGGACCAGGGATTTAGCTCAGTGGTTCTGCCACCTGCCTTGCAAGCACAAGGTCCCGAGTTCGATCCCTAGTACACACACAAAAAAAAAGGTGGAAACTTTAAATTAAATCTTAAAGAATGAATACAGTTTTAGTAATTACTAAGGTTTTAAGTATCACCTATGTAATGATGATGCCTCTGCTGATACATTTAACTCTGCTCTTAAGCTGTAGATTTGATTATTCAGCCTCCTACTTAGCATCTGAGCTTGGATGTGTGACAGGAATCCCAAGCATAATAGATTGAACCTGCCCTCTCTCTACAAAACTATTCCTCTTTTGCTCTTGCACCTCAGTAAATGGCATAAGATCCCACTAGTAGCTTACACTAAGCACTAGGAATCCTACTGAATTTTTTCCTTGCACACCCAGCTTGGCAGCAAGTCTTAGAGTGGCCCTGCAGAACACAAATTTGAGCCTGTTTCCCTGCCATCCTGATCTTGGCTCCTACTTCTCCACAATATCCTGTTCATCTTGCCTTCTGTTCTTTCACTTCCTTAATAATTTAAAAACCTCTTTTAGATTCTTGTATTATTTCACTTTTTGGTGGTATTCTTGTTTGGTGGTGAGTTTGGTTTACAGAAAGTTAGACATGGGTCATGTCTTTTGACTGTGAGCTTGCATTAGGCTGAACTGTTTCTTGTGGAAGTTGCTAACATGATTTGTCCCTGCAGAGCAATTTTTTGTGTTGTTTCCTCTGAATATCTCATAAATTTCACTTTTTTGGTTAGTGGTGGTGGAACCCAGGGCCTTCACGCTGAGTTTTTTTTTGAGTTCTCTGTCTGAGGGGCAGCTAACAAATTTTTTTTTTCCTGTTCTGTAGGTTATCTCTTCACTCTGTTGGTTATTTCCTTTGCTGTGCAAAAGCTTTTTAATTTGATGTGTACCCATTTGTTGATTCCTAGTATTATTTCTTGTGCCTTCGGGGTTCTGTTCAGAAAGTCCTTCCCTATGCTTGTGTCTTCAAGAGTTTTACCTGTTAATTTTCCAGTTTATTGGAGTACAGGTTTTCAAAGCAATTACTAGTACTTTTCTGGATTTGGGTGGTGTCCATGTTGGTTTTGCCTCTTTCTTTTCTAATTGCATTGATATGTCTTTACCTTTTTGGGTAGTATTAGCTAAGGGTTTGTCTATTTGAAGAACCAGCTCTTTGATTCAATTCTTTCTGTAAAACTTACATTTGGCTTAAGTAAATAACATCTGGGATATTTCTGTTGTGCATCGAAGTGTTTTTGTGTGTCAAAAACAAAAACAGAGGCAACCTTGAGGATTATGGTTTACTAGAATATAGATTATATGGTAAATTATCTATTATATATTAAATCATTTGGCTATATAAACTTGCTAAAATACTTTAATACTATATTAATTCAAGGTCACATAGAAATTCAATTTGAGGATCATAATTTAAAATATATACAAAGTATTTGATTGCATTACCTATAATTAATGTAATATGGATGTTTTTTAGTAACTTATCTGATTGACATTTTCTCTTGTTTATTATTGTTACCTTTTAATTTTTATTTTTAACCCTTTTCATATCAACATTTCAAACTCTCTCCCCTTTTTCTATTGAAATCCTTCAGTCATTTTTTCATGGTCCTATGGAACTTGACATGTAGCATATTTTAAATCTTTATTTATTTTTGAGACAAAGTCTTGCTATGTAATGTAGGCTGGCCTTGGAGTCACTGTGTAGCACAGGTTGGCTTTAAACTTGTGGTGATCCTCCTGCCTCAGCCTCTGGAGTGCTGGGATTACAAGTGTGCACCACCATGCTTAGCTTTCTCAGTTTATTTAGTCTTGTTATATCTCAATCCAGTAATAAGGAGCAGTAAATAGGTCTACTTATTTCATGTTACGGGTAAGAATATAATACCCCGAGTGAAAATTTTTGTATCTATTTGTTTTTGCTTGTACTTACTGCCAAGCAATCTGTCAGTTCATAAATGATTTACAAGCTTTGCCAATAATACAAATAGAACTAGGACTATACTCTTATTTTACACTACACAAGTAATCAAGAAAAACTAAAGGGCCAGGGATTTAACTCAGTGGCACTGCACCTGCCTTGCAAACACAAGGTCCTGAGTTTGATCTCTGGTACCAAAACAAAAAACAAAAAAACACTAAAGTCCTAGGTAATTTTTGTTTTGTCCCTTTCTTTCCTTTTAGGACATTTAGTGTAGAAAGAAGTTGGATAATTTGAGAAGAGGTGTTTGGGGGAACCAGGTTGTGCTTATAAATCTTTTTTCCTCTTAGTGCTGGGGATTGAACTCTGGGTCCCGTGCATGCTAGGCCATGGTTGAACTTATGCCAAAAGTCCACCAGTCCTCTTTGAAGAGAATAGCTTTCAGTGAATTGTTCTCTTCACAATGCTCAGTTTAAATAGTATGAACCTTTGAGATTCAAGCATGGAAGAACTTGGAAAACAAATACTATTTTGGAAAAGGCATGAATAAAAATTATAAAACTGCCCAAAAATTCTTTCAATATTTAATTAGTTTACTGAACCCTGGATCTTACAAACTAACTCAAGATGCAGAACCTTGCAAACATTATTTCATAAATGAAGCACTGGACTTGCCAGACATGGTGGATGGCTGCAATCCCAGCACTTGGGAAGCTGAGGATTGCTGCAAGTTCAAGAGCAGCCTAGAATACATAGTTCAGGGCCAGTTAGAACTACAAAGTGAGGCCCTATCTCAAAAGAAAAGACTGGTCTTTATATATGCCTTTTTGAAAGATACTATCCTGTAATAGTAGGTGGTCTGTGTGCATACGGTTACAACCCCTATTTCAGGGTGAAGCTCTTAGAGGATATCAGGTGTATTTAGGGTGGTATGGCTGTAGAGGAGGTAAAATTCTTCAAAAAGATGCAGTAGCTGGATGTGGTGGTGAGGCTTGTAATCTCAACACTCTGAGACACTGAGGCAGGAGAGTCACAAATTCAGGCCTGGGCAACTCAGCATTTTAGTGACAATTTGTTTCAAAAATAAGCTGAGCCTGGTTGCACACACTTTTAATCCCAGAACTCTGAGAAGCTGAGGTAGGTAGATCATAACTTAGAGCTCAGTCTTGGCTACTTAGTAAATTGGCACCTCAAAATTAAAAATAAAAGGGGTAGGGATGCAGCTCAGTGCAAAGGCGCTGGTTTCAATCCCCAGTAGTACAAAAAGTAATGTCTTCTCTCTATCCTTTTCAACCTCCCTCCCCCCACACACACACACACACACACACACACACACACACACACACACACACACAGACACTAACGTACACACATATGCATATTACATACATAGACACACTATATTTTACACAAATGGTAATACATTGTTCAGTACCATCTTTTTCTCACTTAAGGGTATTTTTGGAGCTATGTCTTTTTTTTTTTTTTTCCACTCTGGTACTAGGGATCGAACTCAGGACCTTGTGCTTGTGAGGCAGGTGCAGTGCCACTGAGTTAAATCGCTGGCTGTGCTATTTATCAATGTATGAAGTCTCAAAAATTTTTATACCCAAAGCATAATTATTTACCTGACCCCCCAATTGATGGGTATTAGATTGTTGTTAGTCTTTTATAAACAATACTGCAGTGAATAAACTTTTTAGTGTGTATCACCATAGAATAAATTGTTAAAGGGCAAGAGCACTTATACTTTTGATAGATGATGTCCAGGTGTCCTCCACAGAAGTTGTGCCATTGGTATTACCAGTGATATTATGCGTAGCAAGTAATGTCACCTTCCCACTTCAGGAGCTTCACCCATCTGATGAAAGTGTAGTTTCTCAGTATGGGGTCAATGTACATGCATATGCTCATCATGAACAATGGTAAGTATTGTTTCATATTTTAGAGGCATTTTCATTTCTTTTTTTTTTTTTTTTTGGTACTGGGGATCGAACTCTGGTCATTGTGCTTGTGCTTGCAAGGCAGGCAGCGGAACCACTGAGCTAAATCCCTAGCAGCATTTTCATTTCTTATAAACCTTCTGTTTATAACTGTTGCCTGTATTTCTTACTTTCTTTTTTTTTCTTTTAACTTTTGAGACAGGGTCTCACTATGTAGCCCAGGCTGGCCTTGAACCCGATGCTGGCCTCAAATTAGCAGTGATCCTCCTGCCTCAGCCTCCCAAGTGCTGGGATTACAGGCATGTGCCCTTTACCCTGCACGGTTTTGTTCATACTTCTATAGCATTGTTGGTATGTTTCACACTGATTTATGGAAGATTATTGTATATTAGTATTAACCCTTGATCTATGTTGAGTTGAAAAGATTTCTCCCATTTTATTCTCTATACTATATTTTAATTTCTATTAGGAATAGTCCTCACTACTTTTCTATTTTAAAAATGTCCTATCTATCCTTACTTATTATTCATATGAACTTGAATTTCAACTTGGGAAGAACTGAAAGCTCAGTGATCATTATCATTATGGTCTGTCATTTATCCCGTAATGCTTTTTTCTTTTAAAAAATTTTTTATTATTAAACTTGTTAGTAGACTTGTAGTAGTAGATTATTAGTAGACTTGTTAGTAGACTTGTAGTAGACCTTGTTAGTATAATCTAGAAATCACATATTGTACAAATTAGTCACTGAAAGAGATGACATTAGAACATTATGATCAACCCTGGGCTTTTCTTATTTGATAAAGAATTGTGTGTTGGTCTTCATCCTTTTCAGTGAAAAGATATGGAGGAAAAAATGAAGAAAGATGTGAAGATTTCTGTCTTCTGATAATAATCCCATGGGTTTTCTAATAAATAACATAACTTTGCATACAGTCCCCTTTACGTTTCTAAAGTATTTTGAGGTCCTTAAATATTAGAATTTTCTAATACTGCATATAGTACAGAGATATTTTTTATTTTCCAGTAAAAATTTTAACTATCTTAATTTCAGGGTGGCTTATGGTGTTTTGGAGGAAATGGACTTCCTTATGCTGAAAGTTTTGGAGAAGTTCCTTCAGCTACAGTGGAAATGTTTTGTTTAGAAGCTATAGTAAAACATTCTGAGGTAATTTGAATATTAAACTTGTGGTTTACTTTGGATTGTTACATTGAAAAAAATTGTAAAGATTATTTCATGTAAGGAAAATAACCCTCATTTTAAAAAAAAAGGTTAAAAGCTTTTCATTTATTTTTAAATTTCCGCTTTTTTCCATTTTATTTGTTAGAATTGGTAATCATGATTTACACCATACACAAGCTTAATTTTTGCTGAGTATCTCTAAAAATAGAGGTGCATATAAAGAAACCATCCTGGGCCAGGGATTTAGCTCAGTGGTTCTGCTGCCTGCCTCCCAAGCACAAAGACCTGAGTTTGATCCCCAGTGCCAAAAAACAAAAAAAATAAACCATCCTATTGCTTAAATATAGCATTCGCTTTTGAATTATTCTGTCTTCTACTATCTTTCTGAGATCATTTTTGTACATATTACTGGATAGTTAATTTCCATTAAAACATCTGCCAAAGTTGTGGAAGACAGTGAAAAAAAGAAAATGTTAGATGTACCATGTACCATTGGTGGCGAATTAATGGCACTCCTGCTACAGCAGGCTGTTTGTATCATTGAAAGCTCTAAAAATTTTGCCATCACTGCTATATATATTTGAATTATAACTATAACTTATGGCAATGATTATTAAATTTTTTGGCATTATGGAATGTTTTCAGTTGTGATCACAAATTTTAAAAAAGAATAAAGAAGCAAGCCTGTTGCAGAAATGTAATTCATAAACATCACTCAGGAATCATGTTAAAAATGCATATTTCCTGCTCATCTCTGACAGTTTGATCTGACATGGAATCCAGGAATTTGCATTTGTTGTGGGCTCTCGGGTGAAGTTGGTGCAAGTGGTCCCCTCAAATCAGCAGAAACACCAACCTAGAAATTCTGAACTCTCCATTTAATTTTGGAAATAATTAGACATGGTTTAAAAGTATGGTGCTTTCTAGTTATTTCTCATTCCCACTCATGGAACGAGGTACTGCCTATGAAGTGTAGTGAATATAGAATTAGTGCATGGCATTAACCTTTCCAGAAACCTTTCAAATTAGCAGGGTGCACTGAGTGTGTATCTAAAAACCATACTTTGTAATGCACTTTAAAATGTGATAAAATTTAACAGAACTTTAGAAGATGAAATTTGTCATATATACATGTCATTGTGTCATGTTAGTGAGTAAAACTCATGCTACAAAGAGACAAGACTGTGCCTGGTGATATCAGGCAGATTATAATGACTTGGTCAATTCTGCTACTTTAATACACAGTTTTCTTTTTACTTCTTTTCTCCATTAAGAATTCAAGTCCCCCTGGCAAGCACAAGGTCCTGAATTTAATTCCCAGTACCAGGGGAAAAAAAAAAAAGAATTGAGGCCCCCTTTTCAAGTCCCTCCTGTGTTTTAGGCCAGCCTCATTGCTGTGGGCATGGTGGAGGGTGTAGTGTAGATTACAGATGTCATTTGTCTGACCTGTGTGAATCCTTTGTGAAAGCAAAATCTACCTGCTTGCACAGTGGACTATTTCCTTTTATCAGATGGCAGATTTCTCAAGATTGAAAAACCATTTTAAGGTAGTTTTAAGCTAAGGTATCATGATAGTTGAGACAAATTTTTATTTTTTATTTTTTTGGTTACCAGGGATCGAACTCAGGTCCTTGTGTTTGTGAGGTAGGTGGTCAAACCACTGAACTAAATCTCTGGCCTAGTTGAGACAAATTTTTAAAATTTTAAAAATATTTTATTTTTGAGACTGGTCTTACTGAATTGCTAAATCACCCAGGCTAGGCTTGAACTTGTGATCCTTCTGCTTCAGTCTCCCAGAGTGCTGGGATTACTACCATGCCCAGCTTGAAAATTTTTAGTATTTTTTCTTTTTCATCTTATTTTTACTAAACATTGCATAGCACACTAAACTACATGCTACATAATATATACTGCATAGCCTTCCAGCAGGGTTAGATAACCATAACTGAGTTATTTTTTTTTTTCACCAGTCAGGAAACTGCTTCCTTAATCAGTGTTCTCCAAACCCTTTAACACATAGTGAAGATTAACTCCAGAGACAGGCCTATCTCTTTCTTTCAAATTCCACAGATACGGAAAATGGGCAACCCTTTTTTCCTTGCTTCTGTTAGTGAAGTTGTGGATATGCACAGTGACCTCTCTGGGAACAAGCAGGCATTTGCCCATGATGACAAGTCTAGGGAGAATCTCAAACCATATCTCAGCGTGGTTACCTAGACCAAAACCCTCCTGTAATTTTAAAGGTGACTGGCTTTGACTTTGAAACAATTTTTTAATAATGACAAACCAAGAGCTAATCACAAGAATACAAATTTTAGAATTCATGCTTTGGAGTTTTTCAAAGATTTTGAAATACTCCCAACATAGACAGGGGTGTGCTTATTTATTTAAGTTGAAAAAATAATTTTGAGTAGTCTGTCTGCCTCTCTGTTCTAGAGCAGCAGCCACCTGGCCATCCCCATCAGTCTTCTGTGTCATCTTATATAGTGAATTGTGCAAATAAAGCAAGCTTTCATTAATTTATTGTGCTAGATATCCACACATTGTGATAACATCGAAGCATATGGAGGCTTGCAACTACTTCAGAGGCTGTACCAACTTCACAAGGACTACCCTAAAGTTCAGAGAAATATAATGCGTGTCATTGGAAATATGGCTTTGAACGAACATCTTCATTCTGCTATAGTCCGCTCAGGTAACAACTTTATTATATGAGTATTTTTAAAATCTGGTCCGTTTCTTTCCCACTGCCACTTTTCATGATACATTTATTTTTTTCAATAGACTTGAGACTCTGCTTAGGATTACTATTGCTTTTAGAGCATGTTATTTTGGTAAAGCAAGGAATTATTTGACACTAGATTTTCCACACCTAAGGAAGTCAGTGTGTGACACAGAAGAGCAGGTTTTGCCATGCTGACCATCTGATTATTTGTATAATTTTTAATGTGATTTGCCATCGTCAGGCCAAAAAGAGGCCCAATGTACAATTAGTTTATTCTCCCCAACTAATAAATCATCAGAGAGGAGACACTTAAGACTAGGCAAATATCATATTTCTCATACTCTAAAAATTCCTGCCTGACCCAGCCTTTACTTTGATGGTTGCGAAATGATTTCCCAACTCTGACTTATATTCTCCACTTATTTTTTAGCAGTTGGCATTCTACTAGAAGCAAGAGCCCTCCTTCCCTCTGTCCCTTCTGCTTCCTTTCTTCTCTCTGTTTTCCTTTCTCCCTTCTTCCCTCTGTCAGTATGGACACATGACTTTCCATTCATTATGGCTTAATTTTATTGCTGTGCTTGATAATTTGTCAAATTATCTCAGGTTTGACTAGTAGGAGCCTTAACAAACTTGTCCCTGTGTCCTTGTGATATGCCCACATCATTTTGGAGGGATGTGATAGTATATGTACCAATTCCCCGCAATGAATTTACTTCTTTTATATCATAAACATATACTAATAAAAAAGGAAAAAATTAATTTAAAAGTGGATCTTTTATAAATGGCATATTGGATATAATTGGATATTTCTTTTAGATTCAGTTTTAAAATCTCTTCCTTTTAATCAGTGTTTGTCTGTTTACCTCTAATGTAATTATTGACATTGATGTCTTTGCTTTCTGTTACCTCTTTATTTTGGTCTTTTCTCTTTCTTGATTTTTTTTATTGAGTATATTTTACATTTTGTTCTTTCTCCTCTTTCATATTTTTATACAGTTTGGCTGCATTTTTTTCCCTCGTACCGGGGAACCAACTCGGGACCTTGCACTTGCAAGACAGGCATGATGCCACTGTGCTAAATCCCGGCCCTGTGTATATATGTGTTTTAAAAAGTTATATCTTTAACTGTATCTTTAAATTAACCTCATACCATTTCATATATAATGTGAGATTCTTACACTACAATTTATATCCTGAAAAAATGTGTTATAGAGCTTGTGATACATTGTAACTATTTTTGTTTGAAAAGTTGTCTTCATCCATTTTATGCTTTTATAACAAAATACCTGAGGCTGGATAATTTATAAAGGACAGAAATTTCATTTCACACACTCCTGGAGGCTGAGATGTTTAAGAGAAAGATGTCTGGTTGGGGCTTTCTTAATGTGTCATCATCACATGATAGAACTCAGAAGGAGAAGCCAGCCAGCTAGTCTGATGCTGTATGAAGCCTTCTTCAGGAATCCCTTAATTCTGCATGTGAGAGAGAGGAGTCTTTATACCTTATTCATCTTTTAAAGGCTTCATGTCTTTTTTTTTGGTACCAGGGATCAAACTCCGGACCTTACACTTTTGAGGCAAGTGGTAGGTTACTGAGCCAAATCCCTGGCCCTAAAGGCTTCACCTCTTAACTGTCACAATGGCAACTCCTGAATTTCAGAGAGGACACATTCAAATCATAGCAAATGTTATGACTTGTGTCTAGATATTCCTGTAAAGCCTCATGCGGTCATAGGTGTGGCTTTTCAGAGGAAGCTGGATCTAACTGTGTGTGGTGCTGAGATTGTGTGATGGAATTAAGGGAGTGTGATCCCTAAATTAATCCACTGATTGGTTGGCATAGTTCTGGATGTGGACAGTGGGAAGGCATAGTTCTGGGTGTGACACCCAAAGAGTGGGTATCCTGGAAGGGAGAAAAGGAAGAGGCAGGCTGCTGCTGCTGCTGCTGCTGCTTCCTTGATATTGTGCTGCTTTCTGCCTGCCATAAACTACTTCTCTGTGGTGCCCTCTGCCATGCCACCCTGCTTTGCCAACTATGAACTTAAACCTCTACAAACTGTGAGCCAAAAATAAACCTTTCCTCCTTTGAGTGTCAGATGTTTTATCTCACCAATGAGAAAGGTAACCAAGACAGCAATGATCAAGTAACATTTAAAGGATATTAGAAAGTTTTATTTACTTAATGTTTATTATCTTCAGTGCTCTTCCTTTTTTGTATATTTAAATTTACATCTGATATAATTTCCCTTAAGCCTTGCAAAATAGGTCTGCTGGCAACAAATTCTCTCAACTTTCATTTTTGAAAATGTGCTTATTTTGATTTTATTTTGTACTCAAGGAAAGACATGAGAAATTCTTTGTGGATAATGTTATTTTTCTGACAGAACTTTAAAAATATTATTTTGCCCTCTACTGGCATTCATTGTCCAATGAAGATTCTTCTCTTCCCATTTTGTTCTTATACATGGGATTTATTTTTTTTAAGATTACATCTGTTTTGGTCTGAGTTTGATTCCTGGTACTGAAAAAAAAAAAAAAGATTATATCTGTTTGATTTTTCAGTAGTTGACCTTGAAATGCCTCAGTGACATTTTTATATTTATCCTGCCTGGAGTCCACCGAGATAAGTGAATCTGTGTGTTGGTGTTTGTGACCAAATTTGGAAACTTTCCAGCCAATATGTCTCCCATATATTTTTCTTTCTGCTCTTTTTCTCTCTTTCTTCCTTTTGGAACTTCAGTAATATGTATTAGACTATGTTATATTCTTGATTCTGTCCTGGAAGTCATTGATACTCTTAATTTTTGTTTTGTTTTGTTTTGGCTGTACTTTGGATGATTTCTGTTGACCTGTCTTCTGGTTCATTGATGGAATGCAGACTAAAGGATATTTTGGGGGGGGTACTGGGGATTGAACTTGGGACATTGTGTTTTCAAGGCAGGTGACAGCACCACTAAGCTAAATCCCTGGCTCTGAGACTAAAAAATTTTAAAGCAGGATAGCTATTTGATCAAGTCAGTTTTGATTACATTTTATTTATTAAAGAAAAAAAAATAACCTTTCTCCAAGTGGAACTTGGTTCTGCCCCAGGTTTTCAGTTCTTCTGGTTGACAGCCCATTAGCCACCTTTGGCCCCTGAGGTCTGTGACCTTTTTTTTTTGTACTGGGGATAGAAGCCGGGACCTTGTGGTTGCGAGTTCTGTGACCTTTGTTGCTTTTTCCTGCTCCTGAGTTGTCTAGTACTCCACGCCCACGTCAGACCTTTGACCAAGCCACTGTCCAAAGCTGCTTCACCTGAAGAATCGCTGATTCGACTCCCTCAGCACATCCTTCTCGCATCTGTTCCCACAGTATCTGATTTTCTTCTCTACCAGAATCTTCTATCTTCCTATTTTTATTTCTTTCATAATCTATTTATCTTACTGATTTGTCATGGCCCCCAGCTCAGCTTGTCTTCCTGGTTCATCATTTTAGCAACATTCTTCCCAGTACCTACAACTTCCATTTCCTGATACTCTTTTCACACTCTTGATCAAGAGCACAGCCATATATGAAACCCATTATTTGCTGCTTCTGTGGTTAAGTTCAGAATCATTGCAGAATGACTGTCATAGTGCTTGTAAGATCAACAAATTTGATCGTCAGTATTGCTCAGTAACAATATTTCTCCAATCAGCACGTTCTTGTATTCTTAGCAATGACCATTGTAAACCTCCTTCGTATTCTTCCCTCATCAGATGACCCTTCCTCCTACTTCACTGAGATAATTTCAGTTTCTCCTTACTACCCCCCGCCCCCGGCAAAGTTGTTCTCTTCTTGATAATAGGAAAAAGGGCATTTCTTGTAATGCCTTCAAGTATGGATGGCTCTCATCTCCTTTCACTATGTCAGGAATTGCCTTCCTTTTTTTTTTTTTTTTGTACCAGGGATCAAACTGGTCCTTGTGCTTCAGTCAGGTGATGGCACCATTGAGCTAAATCCCTGGCCCAGGAATTGCCCTTTTGTAGTCTGCAAGATCAGCTGTTCCCTTTCAGCTTGGACCTTCTGATCAGCACAAATTAGGGGAAGGTAAAAAGTAAAAACAGAAGCCAAAATTCTTGACCCCATTTTCCCCCTGACTTCTACTCCCCAACTCCCTTTGGCCAGAACTAGGGGTTTAGTCCAAGCCTTTGCATTGAGATATATCCCCAGACTTTGTTTTTTGTTTTTTGAGAGAGGGTCTTATTAAGTCATTAAGTTGCCCAAACTGCGCTTGAAAAGAATTCTTGCAATCCTTTTGCCTCAACCTCCCAGAGTGCTAGGATTACAAGTATATACCACCATCATACCTAGCTCTTCTCCCTTATATAGCTAAATTTTGAAATAGTTACCTGTATTTTCTTTTTAGTCAGCTCTCATTATTCCTCAATTCTCCAATTTGAATTTTGCTGTGGTAACCATTTTATTTTTTTTCCCCAGGCATCCTGTGTCTTTACTCATTTTTAAATATGTTTTATTTCAGTCTAAATAGTATCAGCTGCAAAATTTTGCCTTTAGATTTACAAAAGTTAAAAATACTGGTAATACCTACTATTGATAAAGATGTATGAAAATTGCACTTAAATGAGGAACAGAAATTTGAGCCCAAGTCAGATCTTAAGGCTCATGTTTTATATATATATATAATGTTTTCATTGTAATTACTTCAGAAAGCAGATAACAGCAATTAAACCTACCTGTTTTACAGAACTCTCCTTCCATTCCACCTCTCTTGTGAGAGGTAACAACTGTTTGAGTTTGGTGTACTGTATCTTTCCAGATCTTTGTGTGTTTGTGTGTATGTGTGCATGCATGCACTTGCATACATACTTATGTCTATGAAGTTTCATTTTGTATTTTTTAGACAGAGTCTTGCTAACTAGTTCAGGCTGGCCTTGAACTCAACTATAGCCCAGGCTGGCCTCAACCTTATAGTGATCCTCCTGCCTGAGCCTCTTAAATGCTGGGATTACAGACATGTGCCACCATGCCAGGCAGTATATATGATGTTTTCAAAAACAACATAAATTAAGTCATAGTGTACATAGTATTGTCAATGCTTTTCTATTTGTCTCCTTGTTTTTGGGCTGTGCAATTCAGTCTGTCCTTGAATTCACTTTGTAGGCCAGGCTGGCCTTGAATTCACTGTCCTCCTGCCTCAGCCTCCACTTGGGATTATAGGGGTGTGTTTGCTTTCGGTTAAAAGAGTTTTTCCAAAAACAAAAAAGTTTTCCTTCATGAATTCTAGGTTTTATAAGACTTTTGTGTGTCACATACATTCCTTAAGAAATAGTTTCCTTGTTGTATTAAAGGCTGCTAATAAGATTGCGGTTCAGGATGAAGTTACTATTATTAACCCTTTGGATTTTATAACTCTTGCTAAAAGTAGAATATCATGGTATTTTCTTCCTTTTTGTGACCTTACCTCCAATAACTGCAATTTGTATTTGATTTTCTGAATAGAGAAAATGGCTCTTGCAACCCTTTCCTTCTGTGAGACCCCCTCAAGAAGTCTATAAGTCTATCTATGGTTGGGGACGCCATGGTGTTGTACTGTGGGACTCAGGCTCTTGGAGCAGAATGGAGCTGGCATGCTGAGCTCCCCCACCCAGGTCAAACACTTGAGTTTTGCTTTTCTCCAGCAGGTTGTTTCCATTTGAAACCTCTCTACATTCTGAGACAGATTTGTCAGATCTTTTCTTTTCACTAGGCTGGGTGTCCATAATGGCAGAAGCATTGAAATCTCAGCACATTATGGAGGCTTCACATGCTGCCAGAACTCTGGCTAACCTAGACCGGGAAACTGTGCAAGAGAAATACCAGGACGGTGTGTATGTGCTCCATCCCCAGCACCGAACAAGGTGAGCAAACAGCACGCTGGCTTTGGTATCTTTGGGAACATAAAGCCAGAGGATTTAAAGTTTTAATATATTTCTATATAATTTAGATGAGTACTTTATTCATAAATCAAATACTTAATACTGAAACAGTTTATCCATGGAAGGGTGTCTGAAGGCTCAAGAAAGTAAATCATCGAGGTTCTTTGAAGAGGGCCAGCTTTCAGTGAGCTTGCATTCATCTGTTAGGATGTGTAGTACTTAACTTTGTAATATGTGTTTTCTTTGTTTCAAGGCATTTTCACTTAGATCTGAGTTAGTAACTGGTGTGGATTGCAGAAGTTAATCTGAATTGGAAGGAGATGCGATTTCACTGATACAGGCAGCCAAATGAACCTACATATGGTCCTGGAGCTCCAGGCTGGAGAAGGTTTATCCTAGGGATCGACATCCATAGGAAGGAATAAGACATAATAAGTTTGACTCTTATTCCTCTTAAAGTTATTGCTGGTTACTATTTCCAGTTATGTCATTGCCAACATAAGTATAGGAAGGGTGGCAATGAAAAAAATACACAGTTCTTATTTTTTCATTTAATACTTTAAAAAATAATTTTAAGAAATAGCAAAAAAATTTTAAATTTGAAAAGAGATTGTCTGGTTAATTCTAGTATGTAAATATAATATATGTTGTGTATGTGTTGCATAATTGCATGCATACTAAAGTTTGTAACGTACTTCCTGTAATGTTTTTCTTTTTTTGGTATGGGGGATCAAACTCTGGACCTTGCACTTGTGAGGCAGGCATGGTGCCACTGAGCTAAATCCCTGGCTCCTATAATTTTTAATATCTCCAAAGAAAGACTATATTACTTTAACATCTCACTCTATTTCTGATATTTTCTTTAGTAAAAATTTGAAGTTTCATGTATACTGACTTTGGAACTGTATCAACATATTATCCAGCTGTCAAATACTTTGATTTTTAGAATATTCTTATGGAGTTGTGAAAGGGAACAGTGACGCTTAACAACTAGGCCACACATACCGAGAGGTCCGACAAGAGACTTTATTCAGGAGGGCAGTGCAGAGAGTGAGAGAGGGAGCAGAACAGAGAGAGAGTAGGGAAGTGTTGGCTTATTTATAGGTTTGGGGTTGGCCTATCATGTATCTGTAGCATGTAACCTATTGCAAGCCACATTGCCTTTTAAGGAGGGAGCCTTGCAGAAGCTTTAGGTTTCAATTCTATATGCTGACGTGGTCTTGGGGAAAAGGAAACTTAGGGTAGGGGTATGGACATGGGAAGAACCCTGGAACATGGCCCATAATGGTGGCATCAAATCTCTAACAAGTTGTTCAGAGGGTAATCTGATGATGGTATCTGTCACTTGATCAGCTACTAGCTCATTGTAGTCACTTGTGGCTGATCTGCCCAGCTAAATACAGCTCCTTCTAGAGAGAGAGAAAGCAGGGAGCACACTGTGTGTATTTCTTTGTCTAAAGTCCTTCAAGGATACCTCAGCATCCCTGTGCTTTAAAACCTGCTATAATTCTTATTTTGTCACATCAGCCTGCCAAAACATCATCCACAGAGAATGATATATAAAGTCTTATCATAGCAATAATGCATTTATTCTGCTTCTTTTTAAAACTCTCTCTCCTTAGTCAGCCCATTAAAGCCGATGTCCTTTTTATTCATGGCCTTATGGGAGCAGCATTCAAAACATGGCGCCAGCAGGACACTGAGCAGGTTCTGACTGGAAAGGCTTTGGAGGATGAGGACAGGTACACCACCTGCTGGCCCAAGGTAAGGAGTAGCGGCTCTGCCCGCATTGCAGCACCATTGCTCTTGCAGCCTTCCTGTGACTTGTTCCTTTTCTCTTCCTGGGACTTAGGAACACCTGGTGGTATGTTACATTAACAGCTGGGTTTATGACCCTATATTATATAGTTTGTATTTCGGGCACAGCCTCTAAAAGAATATTTTATAAGTAAAAAATAGTAGCAGGATAATAACTTACTTCCATTGAAGCATAATATGAAAAATACTTAACCATAATTGTTTATGTAATTTATAATCTTTATAAAGCTAGCAAGACTTTGAAGAAGTAATTCTACTTTGCATTTCTTTTATATATATATTTTTAAAGAGCCTTAATAAATTCATTGAATGGTACTTAATTAAAATGCATTTTGGATCGATGCTATATATATGTGGGAATAATTTCCAGGGCTTTCCTGAACTACCTTTTGCTCATGTTTACAAAAGCAGAGAATGGCCACTGTGTGCCTCATAAGTGCAAGGTCCCAAGTTCGATCCCTGGTACCAAAAACAAAACGAAACAAAACAAAAGCAGAGAATGGCTCACATTTTCCTACTAGTGATGAAATGTGAAGATGACCATCCAACTGGGGGCCCCAAAGATGAACTGTAACTGTCATTAGTATCTCTGAATTCTCAGGTCCAAAGTTCTCTGTTGGACTGTCCAGTCTTTTCTGAGATCATAGCTTTTGACTAAATGCTTTGAAAAGCCTATTAGAGCTGGATTCCAAAAAAAAGTCTTTCTTTGGGCTATAGTAGATTTAAAATTGAGGATATTCTGGTGATACCTTCATACTATTTTGTCCAGAAATATAAAAAGAATCCTTGTTTTTGTAGTCAAACTTTATTTCAATGTCATCTTTAATCAGTTGTCCATAACTAAACCTTTAGTTATAAATTCACCTACTAGGAAGTAAGGTGGAAATAAATAAGTTGAGGTGGTGGAAATTCATGCGTGTTCTTATAATTTTCATTTTACTTAGACATGGTTAGCAAGAGACTGCCCTGCTCTTCGAATTATATCTGTGGAGTATGACACCAGCCTCAGTGACTGGAGAGCAAGGTGCCCTATGGAAAGGTAACTTTAGAAGAGATTTTAAGTGAAGAAAGGCTTGGGTCATAAGTGGATCCTCTGAGATGGGAATTCATTTTTTTGTTTCTTTGTTTTTTGAGACAGGGTCTCACTATGTAGTGAGACTGACCTGGAACTCACTATGTAGCTCAGGCTGGTCTCGAACTCACAGTGATCCTCCTGCCTCAGCCTCCCAAGTTCTGGTATTACAGGCGTGTGCCACCACGCCCGGCGGGAATTCATTTTTATCTTGATACCATAGGCAGGATTTTCTTTAAGTGCTGGAGATGTATTTCAGGGCCATGCACATGCTAAACAAGTGCTCTACTACTGAGCTACACCCCCAGGCAGAGTTTTCTTATAAAAACAATGAAATAGTAAAAGTCTTAGATATATTAGTATTGCACTCCTAACCTAGTTCCTTTGTAACTCAATAATGAGGGATCATGAATTCTGGAGCGGTATCCAGTTTCTACCAAAAGCAAAAGTGATGTTTTTTGCTTTTGTGTTCAAAGACATACTGGCTAAAGGAAACAAAGAAAAAGATGCTGAGTAAATTCGGCTCCTATATCCCTTTTATATACCTTGTGCTAGCTGAGTACATAGGAAAGAGCCCTGGTTTTCTGGGCATAGCACCTTGATTGTAGCCCAGTCCTGCCTTTGACTGTTTAATCTTAGACAAGTTGTTTAATGTGTGTGGGAACGTTCTGTGAGTAGATAAAACACTGCTCTCTGCACGGAGCCTGCAAAGGTGCTGAGAAGATGCTCAGGTCAAGCATCAAGATCCAGGTTTCCCTCCCATTTCTCTCCTGGGAGCTCTGGGGAACCTTTGTTCTGAAGAAAGGTGTCTACACATAAATAGGTCAAAACTATCAGACTGGATAGTTTTGAAGTTCTCTTTTAGTTTTAAAATTACTTAGTTTGAAATCACCAATTTGAATAGTTTCTTAGAACATTTCTAAATAATGAACCAAAATGATAAAAATTTAATAAGTGAAGCATAAATTTAAGTAGAACCAAAACTCACAAAATAGACAATAGTCTCTAGAGACACTTATTGTCAGTAGAATGAGAAGGAACACTCGCATACACCCTAAGTGCTGGGGGAAGCTGGGCTAAGACTCAAGTTTGACCTGTAAAAATAGCCAGACACATTTGATGCTGAAATAGTACTCTAGTACACGAATGGCCTGTTCTGTATTTAGGTGGCCCTAAGGCCAATGCTAATAAGTTACAGAAAGAGAATGAACAACTTCAGAGACTGAGCAAATCGTGATATCCCTCACTCCAAAATAGAGTATATAGCATTCTTGACTTGAAAAGTTAGGTAGCAAGATTTGGGGGATCATGCCTCCTGTCATGCCTGCTGTTTTCCTTTTGTTCAGAAAGTCCATTGCATTCAGAAGCAACGAACTTCTTAGGAAGCTCAGAGCTGCTGGTGTTGGGGATAGGCCAATAATTTGGATATCACATAGCATGGGAGGTAAGGATAGTTTTATCTTTGCAGAATGACCCTTGTGAGGTTGTCACCAGTGGAGCTTACTTGAAGTCCCTGCATTTCTCTATTTCACTTACTTGCAACACCCTCCCCACCCCACATCCATTTAAACATCCTACTCTCCTTCCTTGCTCTTTTTCTAGAAGGGACAGCTAGTAACAAACCATGCAAGAGGGCACGGGTTACAACTTGATGCTTTTATGTCCTAGTAACTAGCCTCACACTGAGGGATGTTTACAAGTCAGACTTGGATAAGCCAGCATTCCTGGCTAGCCCTAGGGCCTCTCCTTTTATCCTCCCTGTGCTCCCTCACCATTGAAGACTCTGGGTTGCTTTGGTGCCCTTACTGTGCCCCACCTCCCAGTTTCCCTCCAACCCAGCTGTTTTCCCCATCCACCTTGTAGATGTCCTTACTGCAGCCCTCAGCCTACTTTATCTGATGAAGTACTTGGGATGGCTGACCCCAGGTCACCTTTTTGCCATAGCCCTTCACATCCTCAAAGATCTACAGTCACCATTCTTGCAATCACTTTTTGTATTACTTGGTTAGGAGGATAGAGGAAAAGATACCTTTCCCACAGCAGTTGGGTCTCCTTAGTAGGACTGTAACTTTATATCTTCATGTTCTCCTGCATGCAGGCTGTGTGGCAGGGTGGGGAGCTGCTGTCAGTCACCTCAGTGATGGGACATCCAGCTCAGATGGGGCTGATATCCCTTCACCAGGGACAGTGGATTCTGGGATGGAAAGATCTGTCCTGTCCTGCAGACACATTTCTAGAGTCTCACCTGCTATTTGGCTTATACTGTAAATTTTAGAGGACTGGGGTGTTAATAAGTGTTAACATTTTAAAGCCCTGTTTCTTGTACTACGGAGAATTATTGTTTAATTGGTTTTAAAATAATGTATCTGTTTCTTGTTTTACCTTTAAAAAAAAAAGAAAAATAGAGGAAGCTGGGGATTTAGCTCAGTGGCACCTCGCCAGCCTCACAAGTGCAGAGTCCTGAGTTGGATCCCCAGAACCAAAAAAAAGAAAAAGAAAAAAATAGAGGGGAAGAAGTTAGCTTATACACCATTTTTCTTTCTTCTCTGTGGCCAGGTCTTCTTGTCAAAAAGATGCTGCTGGAAGCCTCTAAGAAGCCAGAAATGAGTACTGTTATAAAGAATACCAGAGGAATAATTTTTTACAGCGTTCCTCATCATGGATCACGTTTAGCTGAATACTCTGTCAATATTCGTTACCTTCTCTTTCCCTCTTTGGAAGTCAAAGAACTCAGTAAAGGTAATTCTGTCACAAAAGAAATTGGGTTATATTACTATTAATTATATAGAAAGAGAAAGCCAGTTTGTTCCTTGGATTTATTATCTCATTTTGTTATTCACATTGATTGCATTTAGACTCCTCATGAAGTTTGGGCCTTTTTTTTTTTTTGGTTTGGACATGTGGCAGCACCACCAAGCTAAATTCCTGGCCCTGGGCCTTTTTGTTTTTTTATTCATTTATGTATTTATTTTTGATATCTTTTTTTGTTCTCTTTTTTGGTACCCGGGATTGAATTTAGGACCTTGCACTTACAAGGCAGGCGGTGGCACCACTGAGCTAAATCCCCTTCCTTTTTGTTCTTAAGCCACAATTTACTGAAATATAACTACAAGTTTAGTATTATCTTAATTAAGCACTTAGAAAAATTATGTTTTGCTTTAGTATTATTCTAAATTATCAGGAAACTGATCACCTTGAATTTGGAAAATCATCAACTGTTAAATACAAACTTTAAAAAGATTTTTTAGCATATTAATTATAAAGTAATATAAAACAAATATAGTGTTTGATCAATAAGCATTTTTTCCTGGAACACCTGTTAATTAGAATTTGGACTCCTTGGATTGTGCTTTAATATAAGTTGTCTCATTGCTCATGTTTTCTCTTTGTTCTGCTTTGTGGAGTTTGTTTTTCTCAAGCTTGTGTAATTCAACTTGAAGTATATTTTGAATTGTACTTTTTTGAGATATATTTGATATTATGTTGTAATTTGATATATATGCAGGGCATAATAATCAAATTAGGGTAATAATAAGCATTTCCATCTCTTCAAACATTAATAATTTATATGCATTGGGAATTTTATACTTTTCTAGTCATTTTAATCAGTAGTTGTTATAGAAAAGCCAGAACCAATTCCTCCTCCTTGTCATTGCCTGTGCCACTTATTGAACTTTTTGCACTTCATTCGTGCTTCATCCTTTCCAATCTCTTTTGGGACCACTATTCTATTCTGTTGAGACTCACTTTCTACAAATGTGTTAGAACACATGGGATTTGTCTGAGTATGGCTTATTTCACTTAACATTAACGACCTCCAGCTGCTGCAAAGAACAGGATTTCATTCTTATGGTTCAGTAATATTGCATTGTGTATATATACCACATTTTCTCTATCCATACACTGATAGGAATCCAGTTGATTCCATATTTCAGCTATTATTAATATTGCTGCAATAAACATAGGACACAAGTGTTTTTTGGCATAGTATTATGGAATGGCTAGACATGTGGTACTTTTAGTTTTCTGAGGGATCTCTACTGTTTTCTGTAATGGCTATACTGATTTACATTTCTACCAGAATGTATAAAAGTTTCTGTTTTTCTGCATCATCACTGGCATTTGTTATTTTTTGCCTCTTTGATGCTAACCATGGTGAGATAATATCATGGTTTTGATTAGCATTTCCCTTGTGACTAGTGATAATGAACATTTTTCTATATTTGTTGGCCATTTGTATGTTTTCTTTTGAGAAGCATCTGTTTAGTTCTTCAGCCTATTTTAAAATTGGATTTTTTAATGTTCAGCTTTCTGAGTTCTTTATATATTCTATATACTAATCACTTGTCAGATGAATAATTTGCAAATTATTTTCTACTATTTTGTAGGTTATCTCTTAATTGTTATTTCCTTTGCCATGCAGAAGCTTCTTAGTATAAGGTAATATAATAAATACCCACTTCACTATTTTTGCTTTTGTTTCTTGTGGAATTCTGCCTGAAAAAATCATTGCCTATACTGGTGTCTTGAAATGTTTCCCACTTTCTAGTAGTAATTTTATTTTTATTATTATTATTTTTTAAATTTTTTTGGTACTGGGCATTGAACTCGGTCCTTGTGCTTGCGAGGCAGTTGGCGGAACCACTGAGCTAAATCCCCGGCCCTTAATTTTATTTTTTTACATTTAGATCTTTGATCAGTTTTGAGTTGATTTTTGTATACAGTGAGGAAGGGACTTAGTTTCACCCCCCGCCTTTCTCCACACACGGAAACACACACACAATTTGCGAGCACTGTTTAATAAAGATAGTTTTTTTTGTGCATTGTATGTCCTTGTCATCTTTGTTAAAAATAAGTTGACTGGTGGCCGGGGATTTAGCTCAGTGGTTCTGCTGCCTGCCTCCTAAGCATAAGGACCGGAGTTTGATCCCCAGTACCCACAAAAAAGTAAGTTGACTGGGGCTGGGGATTTAGCTCAGTGGGGCCAAGCACAAGGTCCTGAGTTTGATCCTTGGTACCCCCCCCAAAAAAGCTGACTGTATATGGATTAATTTCTAGCTTCTCTACCCTGTTCCATTGCTCTATGGTTTTTTGTTTGTTTTTGGTACCAGGGATCAAACTTGGGACCTTGTACCACTGAGCTAAATCCCTGGCCCCTGGTCTCTCTTTTTTTTTTGTACTGGGGATTGAACTTGGGACCTTGTGCTTGTGAGGCAGGTGGCAGCACCACTGAGACAAATCCCCAGCCGCCCTGGTCTGTGTTTTTTTTTTTGGTACCAGGGATTGAACTTGGGTCCTTGCACTTGCAAGGCAGGTAGCGGAATCGCCGAGTTAAATCCTCTGGCCCCCTGGTCTTTGTTTTAATTGACAGTACTATGATGTTTTGGTTACTATAGCTTTGAAGTATAGTTTGATATCAGATATTATGAGGCCTTCACCTTTTTGTTCTCTCAAGATTGCTTGGCTCCTCTAGGTCTTCAGTTATTGCATATGCATTTTAGGGCTGTTTTTTCTGTTTCTATGAAGAAAGTCATTGGTACTTTGATGAGAATTGCATTAATTCTGGATCACTTTAGGTAGTATGGTACTTTTAAGATTAATTCTTCTGATCCATGAACATAGGAGTATCTTATCATTTTCTTGTGTTCTCTATAATTTCTTTCATCAGTTCTTTATAATTTTCATTGTAGAAATCTTTCACTTCCTTGGTTAAATTTATTCCTGAATTTGCAACTATTATGAATGGAATTGTTTACTTTCATCAAGTTCATTAGAGTATAAAAATGTAATTCTTCTTTGTATCACTTTAGTGAATGTTTGTACATTCCAATAGGACTTATCCTTTTGACAGAGCATTTGGTTTTTCTATTTATAAAATCATGTCATCTGCAAACATGAATAATTTAACTTCTTTCCAATTTGGATATCTTGTATTCCTTTTTCTTGTCTAATTATTACCGAGAGTCCCAGTATTGTTAAATAAGTGGTGAAAGTGAAAGTTCCCATTTTAGAGGAGCAATTTTAGCTTTTCCCTATTGTGATATTGGCTGAGTTTTTCATATATGGCCTTAAGTATGCATAATTTATTGAGTTTTTTTTTATCACGAAGGATACTGAGTCTTAATGAATGCGTTTCCTGCCATCTATTCAAATATATTTTTCCTTCATTCTGTTGATGTCACATTTATTAATTTGTGTATGTTGAGCCATCTTTCCATCACTGGGATAAATCCCGCCTGACTGTGGTATATGTCTGATCTTTTTAAAATCCGTTGAATTTGGTTTGCTAGTATTTTATTGAGAAGTTTTGCATCTGTATTCATCAGGGGTATGGGTCTACAGTTTGTTGTATCTTTGGTGTTTGTATCAGGGAAATGTTGATCTTGTAAAATGTTTGGCACAATTTTTCATTTCAGTTTTTTGGAGTATTTTAAGAATTGAAATTGTAATAAGGTCTTCAAATGTTTCATGCAGTGCAAGAAAGCCAGCAGATCTTGTATGTTTTTTTCCGATGGGAGATTTTTTTACTGCTTCAATTTCATTACTTTTATTATTGGTCTGTTTAAATATTAATTTTATTCACAATTCAGTTTTGGTAGGCTGTATATATTCAGGAGTTTATTTCTTCTAGGTTTCCTATGTTTTTAACATTTCTTACGGTCCTTTTTAAATTCTCTGGTATCTGTTTTAATGTCTCCTTCATCTCTGGTTTTATTTGGGTCTTTTTTTCTTCATTAATCTAGGTAAACCAAGAAATAGTTTGTCCTTTCAAATAGCCCATTTTTTGTATCATTTCCTTGTTTATTTGTTTACTCTTGATTATTTCTTTGATTTTGGGGTTTGTTCTTGCTCTTTTAAGTTGTTGAGGTGCACTGTTTGAGATCTTTTGTTTTTTGATATATTTATTGTTGTAAACTTCCCTCTCACTACTGATTTTGCTGGATCTCACAGATTTTTATGTTGTAATGCTGTCATCTTCATTTTCTTCAAAAATTTTTTTCAATTACCCATTGGTCATTTAGGAGCATGTTAGTACATTTCCATGGCTAGTTCCCATGGAGGAAGCATAGGTAGGACTTAGGCTGTGGTAGTGGCAGCTGCTAATCCTGAAGCTGCAAGACATGGAAGGACCCTCTTCCTGCCAGTGAGAATGCACTAGCCCAAGCTTCTGGTGGTGTTGCTGGCCCAGACTTTTTTTTCGGCGGGAGGAGGAGAGTACTCAGACCAGCTCATACCCCAAACTGGGTTTGAAGCCTGTAATGACCATGGACTCCTGGCACTTAGGACTGCTGGTCCTCTGCCACAATTAGGGCTGGTGCACTTTCCTTGTTTACCTTCTCCCAGCAGTGTGAGCATTCCTTCAGCCAGGGTTTGAAGTTGCGTTTGCTTTCTTTTCTCTAGATTGCCTTTTTGTCTCTCCATGATGCCTTGCTGATTTCAGAGGTCTCCTCAATCACTTTCCTTGAAATACAGATTTTCCTTTATTGCCCTGGTTCTTTTCTATGGCAGTTACGTGTAGGTCACTTCTTTTCAGCTGTCTTGGCTATTTTCTACAAGTTTTCTTCTCTGATTGTTATTTTTTCATATTATCTTCTTCTCTTCTTGCTTGTCACTTCCATTTTTTTTTTTTTTGGATCATTCCTAAAATACTAATTAGAAGATTTTTTAAAGTTCCTTTGAGCTAAATGTGGTGTAATCCCAGCTACTCAGCAGGCTAAGACAAGAGGATGGCAAATTTGAGGCCAGCCTGGGAAACTCAGACCCTATTTCAGAATAAACTCAAAAGGCTGGGGTGGAGCTCAGTGTAGAATGCTTAACTAGTGGGTGTAAGGCCTGGAGTTCAGTTCCCAGAACTGCAAAAATAAAAATTTGTTTCTCCTGTGGTTGGATAGACTTTTCTGTCTGGCTTATCTCTTTTTAAATTTATTTTTTGGCTCATCTATCTTTGAGGTTGTATGTTTCCTCTAATAAATGGTGCTTCTTGGCTGCCCTTTCATATTTGAGGACAAGAAGCTGGAAAGGACAGGCTATATTCATGGGAGACTGTGGGTACCAGCTGCCACACTCTGGGGTCTCCTGTTGTCTCACCCAGACTAAACTCTCTGCTTCCTGTCAGCCAACAGTGTGGTGAAACCTTTCTTCCCCAGTATGTTTGTCCTTTCAGTTGTAGGGGGCTTTAGCCCTTTATTTGAAATTGTTCAATGGCTTCTCAGGCTACCATCTTGAATTAGAATCCTGTTGGCCTCTTTACATTTGAAAACTTAATGCATTTTAAACTAGGTGAGCAGAACTTGTCACATTCTTATTCTAATTTTGTAGATTCTCCTGCTCTTAAAGCACTACAGGATGACTTTCTGGAGTTCGCTAAAGACAAAAGGTTCCAGGTGCTGAATTTTGTAGAAACCCAGCCAACCTATATAGGCAGCATGATCAAACTCCACGTGGTACCTGAGGAGTCAGCAGGTAAAATCATCCTTGAAACTTGCTGGCCATTATTAGATGCTCAGTGGGAAGTACCTCACATTTAATCATAACATTTTATATGCAGTTTTTCAGTTTTAGGAGATAAGTGTAATGAAGATCTAAAAAATTGATTTCATTCTTTCTAGCCACAAATTAAAACTTGTTTGAAAACATATAGCTTTGGCATTACCCTTCCCCTCTTTATTTAACTGACTAGACAACAGAAGTTAATGGTCTACCTCTAAATCAGATAGCAGCAGTGACCTGTGCTGCTTGAAGGTAATACTAAGTTGTCTGTCAGCTAAATTGAAGGGGGCAGTTATTCAACAGTTAGCTAAATGTAAAAACATTTTTTAAAGAATTTGTTAATGTAAAAGGTTTATTAAATGCAGGATATAAAGGCATAGAAGCTTTAGTAAATGGAGGATATATTCAAACAGGAAATGCTCTGAAGGGGGTAAAAATACTAGTGTGTTAAAACTACAGCTCCTTTATGATCCTGGGTGGAGGGAAATGGCTAATACCTACCAGCATAGGTATTATAGGTTAGAACTTACTTATAAGCTCCTTGAAGGTAGATCTCAAACCTTCTTTACAGTCTTATTACTCTGCATTGTAGCTACCCCATACGGCCACTTCTTCAGCTTGCTTTAATGAACCTTTTCTTAAAATTTAAATTTAAGTTTCTATTAGTACATCTTTGCAGTACATGATGCAAAATTTCATTGTGGAGAGTTGATACGTATACGTAACACATTTTCTTGTTACTTTCCTTTATCTTCTTATCACAACCAAGTTAGCATTGAGACTACCCCTTTAACTCCTTTCAGTCTTGACACGGAGGAAGTCTTTATTTTTAGATTTATTGACATTTTTATTTTCTTTAGATTTAGGCATCGGAGATCTGATTTCTGTGGATGTTAACCATTTGAACATTTGTAAGCCAAAGAAAAAGGATGCTTTTTTGTACCAACGTACTCTGCAGTTCATCCGTGAAACTTTAGCCAAAGACCTTGAAAACTAACTGCTGTCTTCTTCCATTTTCCATGTGAATACATGCAAGAAACCTGGCATGCAAAGTTTGACAGCAGCATGGTCTGGAGTGGTGCAGACAACAGAATGCGGCTGTCCATTCACACACAGGAAAGCACGCACACAGCGTGGTAGTGACAGAAGGAGTGGCTAGAATGGGAAACTCTGGCTTACAGAAATCGCACAGTACCAGGCCTGGTGACTGGAGCAAAGCTGCTGGGGCTCGAGAGGCCCTTTTCTCGCCTAGGAGCCCTGTTGGGCAGCTCGGCTAACTGTGAAAGTGCCACGGAGCAGAGAGAAGAGTGAACTAGAACACAGAAGTGAACACAGAAGTTTCTGGTTTTGCTCTGGGTATCCATGTACTATAAATTTTTAAAAAAACAGTTTAAATTTTTAGTTTTTAACTTTCAGTTAAATCTTTGTCTAACACATTATCACTGATGTTAACTGTTGTCATGCATGGCGGAGTTCCTTACATGTTTTTGTTTTCATGTTGCTGAGAACAAATTTGTTTTTAAATTCTAGCTTACAGTAATTCTTAACAGATCATAGCTACTTATGCTTATCATGTGTCCCAGATAAGGATACAGTAGTTTAATCCATTACTGACCAGAGTATGAAATAAAACTATTACAAGCAGATGTATCATATCAACATTTTCAGATTTTCTTTAGCTGTACCTTTCTTACTCATTTGGAAGTTGTGTTAAAAATCATTTGATGGGCTTTTTAAAAAAAGAGCACTAAGGTATAATTTGAATAGCTTACAATTCACCCTTTAAAAATGTTCAACCCATTGGTTTTTTAGTACAGTCAGTTGTACAACCATTACTACCATTTAGTTTTGGAGTATTTCATTATCCTAAAAAGAAACTCAGCAGTCATTTCCCATGCTTCTGTCCCCAGCCCCTGTTAGCACTGGTCTGCTCTCCTTATCTGTGTATTTACCTTCTCTGTATATTTCATACAAATGGAATCATACAGTATTCTTCACATACTGTTTTCAAGATTCATATATAATGTAGCATGTTCATCCTTTATGACCCAAATTATCCCATTTTATGCTATATTTGTTTATTCACCAGTTGATGGGCATCTAGGTTGTCCTTTTTTTGGCTATCAGGAAGTCGATGCTGCAGTGATCATTTGTGTACAAAGTTAGGCTTTTTTGAATAGATGTTTTTACTTATTTTGGCTGAGTAGAATTGCTGGTCAAATGCTAAGTCTGTGCTTAACATTGTGAAGATGGTGGACTCTGTAGAGTGGGAGTGTCACAGATGAAGATGGAGCCCAGGGCCAGGGATTTAGCCCAGTGGCACCCACTTGTCTTGCAAGGGCAAAGTCCCGAGTTTAATCCCCTGTACTGGGGGCAAGTGGCATGAAGATGGAGCCCAGCATTTGAAGGTAAGCAAGGTTACCAACAAACTCTATCATATCAACTTCTAATTGTTATATAGCCACACAATGAATGACTTATCCACTTGTAGTAAATATGAATGTAGCTAACAATAATGTGCTAGCTAATGGGGTGACATGGGGAGAAGATGTTTGGTAGGTTTGGTACTTTTTCTTTGTCTGTTTTCCACAAACTGTGGTAGACAAACCACAGTAGAAACGACTATACGTTAACTTAATGAAACCCCTGTCCTTAAAATCCTAATATATAACTATCATAGCTGTGTGTTTAACAAAGGCTATAGAGAGATCTATTGCAAAATTACCGTACTTTTTCAGGGAGCCATTTATCATTTTTTTATTGTTAATAAAATGGAAAATCTACCTCCATTTATCAGGCAAATGGATTTTGATGAAGTTTATCAAACTAAGTGAAAATTAACCTAGCAAAACAAAAGTGTAAAATGATGACCAGAGATTCAATCTAAGAGAAACATAATTTTGGATAACAAAATAGTGCTGAACAGGAAAAAGGTACTGACATGGAAACAAATTGAAAACCGAATCAGTCAGCACAATTTCAGAATTAATGTGCAAACAACACATTAAAGACTAGAAATGGGTGAAAATTCTGTTACTACAGGGATACCATGATGGAGGCAGAACTATAATAGATGGAGAAGAAAAATAAAATGCTCAGAGTAATTAGAAGATAATAGCTGGGTGTGGTAGTGCATTCCTGTAATCCTAGCACTCGAGGCTGAGGCAGGAGGGCTGCTATGAGGCCAGCTGGGCTACATAGTGAATTCAAGGCTAACCTGAACTACATAGTGAGACCATGTCTCAAAAAAAAAAAAGGCAATAAAATTATTCAATTATTCAATTATGAACTCAATGGACAGATATTATCAGTATAAACTAAAGGAATAGGGACCCCTGTGCTCCTGACAGTCCTCGCAAGTGCTGGGATTACAGGTCTGCCTGGCAAATCTTATTAAATCAAGATATATAGGGGGAAATAAAATGCTGTATTTCAAAATGCAAACAAAGACCCTTAAAAATACCAAAAACTGTTAGAAACAGTAATGTTGAAAAGAATCATGTACTCAGCTAAGTTGCCCTTGAAATGAGTGCAAAGGTAATAATAGATGTACATACTCAAGCCCGCAAGGACTTGGAAAATACTATTAATTAGTTTTATCCCCTTAGCTTAATTTAAAGTAATATTATATAATTACATATACAGTGCTATCTCGGTTCGTGAACTTAATTCGTTCTACACTTTTGGAGAGGATGCCTGTCGTTGTTCCTACTTATCACCCAATGCAGAGTTTGCAAGCAAAAACAAAATTTTGCCAAATGCTTCTGTTTGCAAACAAAAACATTGAGAACCAAAGTACCACTTTATTTTAATCATCTAGTATTTTACTATAAATAAATACATTTCTAGAATAATGTGCATTTCTGGTACTTACATGTAGTGCTGAATTTTTCAGTGTTTGCTGTTTTGGTTAACAATTATTCTAAAAGTCTGTGGAGAAGTAGAAGTTGTAATTATAGCCATTTTGTTCATTGGTCAGGTTATTGCAACATAACCTAGCATATATCTTAGGAAAACAAAGTTAAGTTGAAAAAGTCATCTTAAAAGTTAGCAGAAGTTTACTTTTAGTGATAGAATGCTAGGTTGTTTGGATCTAACTTCCCAATGTGAAGATAACTAAACTGGGTGAAGTATTTATTATTGATCAAAGTAACAAAAAATGACTGACACACACACACACACACACACACAAAAACCAGAACAATATACTTTAGTTATTCCCTCAATACTGGGACAAAATACCTGACAACCTGCAACTAGGGAGGAAAGGTTTATTTTGGCTCATGTTTCAGTCCATAGTCACTGGTGCCATGGCAGAGGGGCATGGTACAATAGCAGCAGAAAAAGTGAAGGAAGGATCTGGGGAGGGAGACAAACCCTTCTAGGGCACACCTACATAGACCTGCCTCTTCTGAGCAGATCCCACCTCCTAACAGCAAGCCAGCCATTAGCCCCATAATCCAATCACCTTCCAAAAGTGCACATGAGGCTCTTGGGGGATATCTAGATATAAACCCTAACAAGGGACTAGCAGTCAGAACTTCTTTTGCTCAGGGCTGGGGATTTAGCTCAGTGGTGCTGCCGCCTTCCTTGCAAGCACAAGGTCCCGAGTTCAATCCCTGGTACCAAAAAACACTGGAAACTGGACTGTCATCACTTGAAAATGAGATTGGGGTCATCCACTCTCATGCCCTGCCCTACTGATCTAAGGGGACCTGTTCTAGCAAGACTGCTTTGGCCCACAGCACATCACTCTCCAGTCAAAAGTAGGTCCTCACATGGGGGCTACATATTCCTCTTTGTCAACATTCTTGGGACCTACAGTTAAATCTTCATTATTGGCAGTGGGAGTTGGCCAGCCTTTTCATCCCTACATAACAGCTCTCTTAAATTGCTCTTAAGTTCACTCCTGATGCTAGTGACCCATTCCCCTCCTGGAATGGGACCTACTTCTTAAGCTGTGGACAACAGTCATCTTCAAAAACCCTCCTCCCCTTTCTACACAGTCTACCATTCTCCTTCCTCCAGTGCCTTAGCCTGTAAACCTACATAGTCCTTCAAGGGACAGTCCTCATTTGGGTAGGCTCTCAGCCACAATCTCAACTGGACTCCACCTTTGAACAGTAAAGTGTTCTGCTATATTAATGATATGTTAATCTGCAGCCCCTCTCCATAAGACTGCCACTCAGACACTTCTCCTTTCTCTCCTGCAGTTACTGTGCCTCACCTTCCAAGGCATAGTTCAGACCACCATGCAGTATTTGGGGTTTCACCTTACACCCACCTCATAGGCTATTACAACTGATCACAAAGCTCTCATCCAATCAGTTCTAACAAAAACTACTTTTGTTCCTCAGCTTAGCTGGTGTTCTCTGCCTCTGGATCCCCAATTTTAGCATCATAGCCAGACCCCTTTATAATGCTCCCCCGCAAAAAAAAAACCCATACCTTCATGCCCTCCCCAGCTCACGGTATTTTTCACAACTGCCTTCAAACAACTCACTGGTGATCTTAGTCACTTTCCCAATGTTAATCCCCTCCCACAGCCAGCCAATCACTGGTTCATAAATTAAAACTTACCAGGGGCTCAGGATTTAGCTCAGTAGCACTGCACTTGCCTGGCAAGTGCAAGGTCCTGAGTCCCATCCCTGGTACACACCCCCCAAAAAACTTGCCAAGCCCCCAGTGGATGCCAGGTGACATACTATTGTCTCTAACTCCAGACACATAGTAATTGAGATCCAAACACTCCCCACAAAAAAAAACACCTCACAAAAGGCAAAACTCACAGCTCTAACCCATACACTTACCTTGGCTTCTTCAGGGTTTTTCACTATACAAAAATCCCCATTACCAACAAAAGCCACATAAAAATTCAGAGCGTCAGCCACTGTGCCACTAAAAGTGGCTGTCCTCTTACTATCTCATCAAGCCTTAAAGTTCCAACAAATGTAGCTGACAAAACAGCAGAACTCACTGCTCTCACCGAACACCAAAAGACCCCAAATCACTTCATTACTCTTCCTTGTTCCCAGATCTCAGCTGTTAAACTCCACCATTCCTAGTCAGACTTACTACACCTCGCCCCCCTGCATACATGAGCCCTGCCGAGACAACCCACAAGGCTCAGTCCCCTTTCTTCTGGCTCTATTCCTCCCACTTATTCCCTAGATTACTCCCATTCATCTCAGGCCATTTGAGCTCTACTATGAGCTCTCACTGACTCTTCTTCCCCAGCCTTCACACTCATTATTCCCCTCCCCTTCCACCCAGCCTACAGGTCCTCCTCAAAACCCTTAGAAAGGTCACTTTGCATCCAAATGGAAAAGACTATCTACATGGTCCTCCTTACCAATCCCTTTCCCACTGTCCTTTCTACCCTGCCATTATAATCTTAAAACTCAAGCACCTCAGGCTGTTCCGTTCTTTCCTGCAGGTTTTTCGCAGAAAGCTGTTATTCTCTGGCTCCCTGAACTCATGTGCTTTGCCCCTTCCCTCATTATGAGAATATTCTTTCCTCCAATCTCAACTTTGCTCCCAGAAATAATCCCTGGCCTCTGGCTCCAGGACCTTTATCAAGTTCACTCCAACACAGATCACCTTCTTCACCTTCTGCCTCCACTTTCTGTTGATCCAGCCAATGAGTTGCCAATGGCAAACAGTGACTGTCTTGGGCTGTTCAGTTAATTCCTCTCCTGACAGCATTCAGAATAAGCCATTGTTGGCACTGGACCAGCTAGACTAAAAGTTTCCTTTCACCTTTTCTCAGCTCTCCAAGCAGGTTCAGCCTCAGCCCCTGCCCCTGTCCATGCTGACCACTTCAGATCCCAGCCAAAAAACAAAATCCACTGCTCTGATGCACACAGAACTCCTACTGACCCAAACTCAATCCCCACCTTTCTACACTACGCCATCCAGCTTGCCTGAGTGAACTCCCCTTTCACCATTTCTCTACTCTGAGCAGGTATCTGTTGAATTTATTAACCTGCAAGATTAAATCAACTCACTGGCTGCTGTTGTGTCCAAAACTCTCAAAGCCTAGACTTGACTACCACAAAAAAAGTGGGTTCTGTGCCTTTCTCCAGGAGACCTACTGTTTCTTCACCAAAGTCTGGACTCAAGATGTCAAAAGGTTGTGTAATCAAATCGCTGCCCTACAAAATTGGCCTCATCCTGGACCATTCCTGCCAGGCTGACAACTTCCTGGAACTCCTGGCTCATATCCCTTCATGGTCCATTGTTTCAACATTCCTCTTAAATCACATTTGCCCTATGTGTCTAGCTCCATCCAAACACAGATGTCTCAGTTCACTTCTCAAGTGGCCCCTACCAGCCCCACAAATTTGACCCTGCTTAGCCTGACGCAGCTTGATAAGAACCACATCCCTATATGTCTTGTTCTTTATTACCTTTAAAAGCTGAGATGGTAGGTCTGAGCCCTGCTAGTCCCTAGCCACCCAAGTTCCTGAACTTGGAGAACAGTCACAGCCCATTCCTATATCCTGCAGCATCCCCCACGCACTAAAGGGAGAGGAAACAAGCCATTTTCACTAATGAACACATTTGTAAAACTTCTAAGCAAAAATATTGACACACTAAATGTAGAAATATTTAAAAATATATCTGCTGGGCATGAGAGCACGTCTTTAATCCCAGCACCCAGGAAACTGAGGCAGGAGGATCACCATGAGTTCAAGGCCAGCCTGGACTGCATAGTGAGACCTGTCTCAAAAAATGAAAGACAACTGTTCAAGTTGGAGTCATACTAATAATTATACTAAGAATGCAAGTTTTGTTTAGCATTGAGAAGCTGATTAATGTAATTCACTGGGTTAGCATATAAAAGGAAACATCACCGTCACTTTAATATATGCAGAAATATTTTGATAATATTCAATGACCATTTATGAAAAACTGCCAGGAATAGAATTTTATTAATCTAATAAAGGATATCTCAAGAAAAAAAAATATACTTAATGGGGTCAGGGATTTAGCTCAGTGGCACCTTGCCTGCCTGGAAAGCACAAGGTTCCGAGTTCAATCCCTGGTACCACCAAAAAGAAAAAAAAAAAAAAAAAATTAACACACACACACTTAATGGCAAATTACCTTTCCTTTTGGAAACAGGAATAAC